TGTTGTGGCCTCAATCTCTTAAGTCTGTTCTGGCTGAACTGCTACCTCTTTTATTATTCCTTCCATCCTTGGACCCATGCACCAGGGAGGAGTTAGTAGAAGAGTCCAGCCAGGCCCTTGACCAACACTTTCATCTGAAAAAGATCAGTGCAGGAAGCAAATACAGGAAAAGGCTCCCCAAAGGAAGCCCAGAGCTGCATTCCATGGTGTCTTGTGATGTGCAAGCCTTCAGGCTCTCTGGGATGGTGACTTGTGTTGCTGTTCTTGGAAGCTGGGCTACGCTTACAACATTTAATCCACATCAGAAAGCAAGTAGAAATGTTACCTTACAAGAAGAAGAATATGAAACCTTCTATCATCTGATCTTTTGGTCCAGGGGGCTTCATATGGCTCTGTAACTCACAATGTCTTCCTAGCGATGCTGCAGTCGTGTCTGAAGTAGCATTTCAGCACCCAGTCCCCTCATCTCCCATTTTTGCCTTCTCTCACATGACTCTTTGCCCTCTTGAGAAGATAGCTCCCTGCCGACTGCTCTCTCATTTTCCTGATGTTGTCACTGCCACAATGTCCAAATTATGCTATCATCTCCCTACCAAAGTAAGAATAACTCATTTCTTAGCTTCTGAGTTGTGAGGGAATGCACTCATGCCAATCACTGTGACTGTAAGAAAGCTCAACTCACTAACTTAAAATACAGCTCAATGTGTTTCAAATTCTACCTCCTGCCAGTTGCAATGTGATGCAAATTCCTTTTCAGTGCTGTTATTGCTGTTTCTAAAATAGAATTGCTTATTTTTTCACTCCATAGAGTGAAGGCAATAATTCATTAAGGAGAAAGGAACTGTGGAGTTCATTGTCATAGAAGACTCTTATGAGTTTTCAAAAAGGGACAGGTCATTTTCACAAATAACAGGAATACTGAAATTTACATTAAGGCTGATCAATTTAAGCTAGCTTCCACCTAGAGATGAGTAAGTATGGCAAGGTTGGCTTTGTCCTTTCACCAAACATTATCTGTGCTGCAGGTCTCCTGTTACTCACTAGCTTTGTCACCCAGTTTGGGACATGTCCTTCATTCACTGTCAACCTCAAGACTCCAGGCTGCCCACACAGATAGACTTGATGCACGGGGTAAGTTCTGAGCCCAGCAGAACAGTCTCATGTGAATAGTGCCTGAAATGAAGGGACCCTTATCTCAGTCAGTACCCCTCTAGATGCTTTGCCCTTGCTAAATTACAGTAATAACAGTCACCAGCAATGCCTGTAGATAAGAACAGCTTTCTCAGGTGACTGGCAAGAGATCTTTCCCTTGTTACATCAATTGACTTAGCTGCAGTCCTCCGCTGCTGTGCCCTGCAGCCTCCACACTATATTAATCCTGCTGTTTCTCCCTCTCCACTATGAACCTGACACAGTTATTTCTCAAGCTTTTCCTGCCCTTGGCTATGAATTGCATTACTGCCACAGTGATTTCTGTGCTAGTAGCACTTAGGAGACAGAAACAAACAGAAACCATGTGCTTTGGGCTCTCTACAAACAAAACCAAGCTCGGAGTCTCCACTTTGGACTCTTACTAAAAGAAAAGGAAAGGGAAAATAGAGACAAAAAACAATCCACCAACCCCTTCCCCCCTCCAGAAGTTAAAACCATTCTGTGCCTGTTGTCACATCACTGCCTGAGCCATTGAGAAACTCTACAGCACTTTCAGATGTGTTTCTCAGCCTGACTATACTGGTGTTTCCATTAAAACCCTAACTGCTATTAACACCAGCAGAGTAGCAGCCCAGCCATCACAAAAACAAATCCTGCCCCTCACCTGTTAGTGCTGCTTTGCCAGGGCAGCAGTTTGGTGGGGAATGTGGCTAGGGAGAGACTGCAGCCAGGAAAGCAAATGCTTGCTCTACAACTCTATTAGCCCCAAAGACATGAGGCTTTTTAGCAGGTGAAAGCATCTACTTACCCTCCGTGCCACACACACAGTGTCTCAGAAAGAGAATGAGGCCATGGCAGAAGGTTGCTGGTAATCAAAGTATGGCTTTTGCTAAAGGTAGTGGAACATGGGAGCCATCTGTCCCTGTTTCATGCTCAAAGCATCATTTGACAAGGCTTCAGTAAATTCCGGATGCTGATCACATTTATGCTTTAGTTAATTTTACACCAGAAACACATCTTCTAGCAGCGAGGAGAATTTTGATCATAATTATCTGTGTAGCCTGGGAGTTCCCAATGCAGACAAGACCCTCTTGCTCTGGGTCCTGAGGAAACATCACAAAAAGTTTGTCTCTGTCCCAGGCTTCTTGCAATCCAAATAAAAGCCAGTGGCTAGATGCAGATTGTTGGGCAAAGAAGACAAAATAGTATGAATGAAGTAGTAGTATGGAGAGCAAAGATCATGTAGCCAGTAGATGCTGAGTTTGTCTTTATATTCCAAGCACAGGATGACTAGGGTCTTACTGGAAGGAAAAACTCTTATTATTGAACTGAACCAAAAACATGTTTGTTTGATCTTATTTGCCTCTGTAGCCAGTTCAGTGTTCTGCTGTAAATCTTGAGGGAGCAAGGTTTCCTCAAGTCAGATTTAGTGATGTTCATACTGGATGATTAAACTATGTCTAAATGGAGGCATGCAACAAGGATTTTTTTCCCCACTCTTTTATCTTCTCACTGTCAAGGTAGCAAATGTGCTGGATCTGTTTCGTTGTTAGAGCTCTCAGAAGCAATTAATTTCATGTCAGTAACTAGACTTTGACCTGAATTTCCTCAGTTTCTAGTCCCTTGCCTCCCTGTCCCAGTAGAAGCAGTGTTTCAAACTCCTTTCTTAATCTGCTAATCCTTAACCTAAAAGGAGTGAATAAAACATGTAGATGAAGAGCAGCCACAGGACATTTATGGGCAGGAGATCAGCAGAGAGCAGACCTTAATAGCATGTTTCAAAGTCTGTCTAGAGCCAGTTTGGTTCCTGGAGTTCAGCAGGAAAGGCTGTAGGTGTTGGTTGCCTTGTTTCTTTGACAGACTAATCGTGAACCTTTGCCTTTTGTTACCAGTGAAATTTCGAAAGTGAGACATGTCTCTGACATGTTCCCTGGTTGCAAAGGTCACACCGAGAGCAACGCTTTTGATCTTTGTGGCTTAAATAAAAGGGAATGGATCTGAGCAGCTGAAGATTTGTTTTCCAAATTGATTCCAGTCATGGGTCACTGTGGTTCTGAAAACCAAATGCCAGTTTCATACCTTGAACTGGGGTTGTTAAACACAGAGGCTTTCAACAATGACTTAGTAGGGTTATACCTGTTAGCATCTTTCCGTAAGTTGCAGCATCTCATATGTGGGAGGTCTTCTACTTGTTTGTTGTTTTTTTTTTCTGAGTTGCTGTGAAGTGTTTGAGAGATTTGTGGGGCTGAAGGACATAACACAATTGCTTCTGTCCCTAAGATTGACTAATCAAGTCCTAGGAAAAGGACAGTAAGTGTTTCATCGTAGCAAAATTGTATTTATTGTTAAGAAGGCTGGTTTGATGGGCACGAAAAACGTCTGAGGCAACAGCAAAGTTGGTTGCTGGGTTGAACTTTCTCTTTTTGCTGCCACTGGGACAAGCTACAGTCAGTTACAGCTGAGCAGGTTTGAGAACACCATTTTCTATGTTTGCCCCATGTAATTTGACAGCTTAATTTGCAAGGAGACAGACTGGTATGGAAAATGCAGAATGCTAACTCGATGATCCCAGAAAACACACTGGCTGTGTGAATCCCTGTGGAAGTGAGTTTAATAACTGGAATGTTTTAGCTGAGAAAAGATCATTTAGTTGAAGACTCTGTAACTGAAAACTGTGGCTTGGTGTTTGCCTTCTTTTACCATTTCACAAAGAATGAGAAGACAAATGCTTTTGTTTTAAATGACTGGATCTGCAATGAGTAACTCTGTCTGGCTTCACTGAGACTTTGGTTGCTGGCATCAGCACCATGCACTGGCTGCCTCCTGGAGCTTTTTTCAGCAGCAAGCGCTATGTAAGATATCCCAACTTTTGTTTTAAAGCAGCATGTCCGAACTTACTGTAGCTCATATTTTACATTATGTTCTTAGTTTACATTGCATCTGAATGGAGGCTGGGAAAGGATGAAAAACAAACACGGATATTTTCTGGTGAAGGAGAATATGCAGCTCTACCTTATTTAAGAAAGCTTGGTACAGCCAACTCAGCCCTGGACTGAAAACCAGGCAGTCCATGCTCTCCTTTTGCATTAATGGGTCTGAAAACTTTGAAGTTCAAACAGGTGAACCTGTTCAAGAGGCTGACCAAATGTAAATCCAGTTTTGGCACTCCAGTGCATATATTTATCGCCAAATCTCCTTTGTGAGCAATGCAACCGACTCTACTCCAGTCTGATTGTTTAAGGTCTTACCAGTTTTAGTTGTTCTAGCAATGGAGCAGAGAGGAGAAAAAATGATAACCAAGGATGAAATGACCATTTGAATATTTGAGTCTTTCCAGTAGATCCTGTTTCACTCGATCGAATTAAGTATTTTCAATGGGAGCTCCTCATGTTATCAAGAAAAACTCTTGTACACAGCGGTTTTGCAAACCTTATGCTGTGATTTCTAGAAGAAAGGTATGTAGCAAGGAGAAGCAGCACAGATTTGGCCATTCTTCTGTTGCTGCTTTATATTTATGTCATTTATTTGTGTTGTGAGCACACTGCAAAATCCAAGTTTTGGCTTTGGCACTGGCTGTGCAATTAATCCTGAGAGCCAGAGAATGGGACCAGACCGAGATATGTTTGCCTAGTAAAGACGTAACTCCAGACAGCCTCAAACATTGTTACTGATGGCCCATTTGGACCCATGAACCTCCTGTCTCATAGCATAAGGGAAGTTGTGGAAGGGGATAAACCATGAGGAATTTTGCAAATGAACAGAATTAGCTTGTTCATTTTGTATAGTCATTTATGTGTATGTGTATATATTGACTATATATGTTGATTTAAATGTATTTCCCTGTTTAGGAGTATCAGATGCCTGCGGAATATTATCCACTGGAACTTGATCACCACATTCATCCTGAGGAATGTGATGTGGTTTCTGCTTCAAATGATAGATCACAACATACATGAAAGCAATGAAGTAAGTGCTTGGAGGTAGTATGTCTGGCATGTAGTTTAGGAACTGGCAGGGATGCTGAATTTGTTAAACTAACAGAAATATTACAAAGGACACATCAATATGCTAAGGCTGGCTTTCATGTAATTTCAAAAAATAGAAAAAACGGAAGAAAATTAGGCTTAGATTTGCTAAATTTTTATTTATCTCTTCATTACATTGTCTCATACGTTAATATATATGTGTATATATATATTATATATATATGTATCATTATATTAATATCAAAGGTTGTTTGATTTGGGTTCTTTTTACTAAAAATCCTGCCCCAAAGCGGGAACTCTTATTTTCATTGACCATAGATACTTTCCAAATTTATGTACTGTAAGGCAAGATATTGTTCAAGACACTAAATTTGGTGTTTCTTGAACATTCTTGTCAGATCATCCTGCAGTGATCTACACCTGTGTAGTGAAAGCATTAATGCCAGAGGGCAACATCCCCATGAGCAGAAATAATTGATCGGGCTCTGAGTCAGCTACTTTGATGACAGTGGGCACCCAACTGCCTTGAGTCAGCAGGACTTCCAAGAAAATAAGAAATAGAGCCTGAAACAGTCTAATTTTTGCTTGTTGATATCTTTAAAGGTTTGTGGGTTTGTTTGTTTTTTTTTTTCACAAAATTCCACTTCCCTTCTTCACTTTTGTGCTGGTCTTGAGGATGAAGTTCTGTGCTATGGACTGCATCCAGCAGCAACTCCTTGTCATGTGAGGAATCAGTGCTCATTCCTCCAGAGATCCAAATGCTTCATTCCAGCTCCTGCTGCTTCTTTTGCATTAGCTCTGTTCCTTTTGCTCATGCCCTGGGGAGGACTGAATTCTCAGAGACTGAATTCACTACACTGATGGAAAACTAACCTAGCTGACAAAAAACCAAGAAGGACTTTTCTGCTTGCATAGCTATGTAAGTCAGCTTTCTGCTGCATGATTGAGAGAGACAGTTCAAGGGACCAGAGAGATCTGCTCAATAAAAAGCTAGAAGGCTGAAGAGGGCAAGAAGTGGCATGTCTTCTTTGCATGGCATTGAGCATTCTAGAGAAAGTGAGCATGTCACCATACTCCCATTTCTCTTACTCTCCGTGTTATTTCTTGTTCACTCAAGTAACTCCCAATTGCAAATGCTTGTCTAAGGAAGGACATTGAATCAGTCCCTGTGCAAGTACTATAACACCTTTCCCTGTTTCACAGCAGCCCAAATAATACAAGGTTTTTGGTGTGGTTTTAAAGCATTTTTTTCTTTATTTTCATGGTGAATAAACCTACATTTCCTTGGCAAGTAGTCTTTTTTGATAGTCCATTGGCAAGGTTTTTTACTATTCTGTTTCCCTTGTAATGTTCTTATAGCGCAATATTCTCCTTTTAGGGCTACCTCCTGATAATAACCTTCATAATCAAGAAGAAAGTGCACTACAAACATACATACACACCCATACACACACACCCCCCCTTCATGCTGTCTTTGGAAAGCAGGTGGATTAAAGTGCCCAGAGATTATGAGCTGGATCCGTAGCTGGTATCAGTCGTGGCTCCACTTGTGTAGGAACTGGTCCTGCAGAAATTGAAAACCACCCCAGGAGCCAGGATATTCATTCATTTTAATGTCGGCTGGGCACTTGTCATCCTTGGTTAATTTTTCAATTTTGACATCTGAACTTTAATCCCACACTTTGGGAAAACAAATAGAAAAGTCATTAGTATCCAGACAAAGAAGAACTCTATGCATAACTCTGTATTATTATTCAATCAGACGCTCCTTTGAGAAGATGTCGCTTCTATTAATTCATTGTTCACTTTGTCTGTCTTTCTGACATTTTCAGACCACAGAAGATGGTGGCATATGAGCTTTATTGTTGACAGTTTTATGCTGTGTGATTAATTCTCATGACAATACGGCTAATCTTAATACAATTTTTTACAGTTATTTAAGATAAACCCCACAGTTAGAGTCAGGCATTCAAATGCCTTTTAAAATGTGACCGTCACAAAGTGCCAAGAAAAATACAAACCTGGAAGTACAAGGAAAGATCCTCACATGCCTCAATTTTCGTTAACACATTTCTTCTCTGCAGAAGACTGCAGTCATTTTGGGAAAGTGCTTTATAAAAGCTTCGTGATAAATTTGTTATGTTCTTGTTGTGGCTCAAGTCAGAATCAAAGTAACACCACCAAAATCAGTGGGAGAAACATCATTTTTACTAGCTAATGATGTGATCTCTTCTGTGCTGATCAGCGGAGATTAAATAATACAGCTACAGAAGCATCAAGGACTCAGTGTGGAAACATTTTGCATGAAGTTATAGTGCTTGTAATAATAAATCAAGAAGGGGAATTGCTGAATATATCTGGGGTAATGGTGGACACGTGGGGATCAAGAATCCTTGGTGAAATAAATGAAAAGGTATAAATTAATGAGTTCTGCTAATTTAGTTTATTATTCAATAATAATAAATAAACAATTCCAAATGGAATTTCTCAAAATTCATTTTGTTCTGGTTTCCTACGGAAACAATGCAGAGGGAGATCTCACCACCATTATGCGTATTTTCGTGTATTTGTCCCAGTATCTTCCTAATCCAGTGGCCAGTTCCACGCAGTTCTGACACAGGAACAACAGGTTCAGATATAATTAGTTTTTACAATTCCTGTGAAAATGGGCAGCTGTGGAGAGGACAAAAACTGTGTAAGTGAGTGTTGCAAATGAGGGAGAGAGGGGAACAAGAATCTAGACATTATAACAGAGAATTTACACTAGATTGAGGCCGCAGGAAAAGATTTAATTCATGCTCATACCTTTGAAAAATTGAGGCTTAGAGTCTTCGAAAAGCCTAGTCTTGCTAGTTTGGAGTCAGTCAGGAATGGAGCCAAAGTATTTGTTAAGTGTTAGCCAAAACTAGGGGTGTTTTTTTTTTATTTATTGTGGCTTTACTTCCCTTTGCTCAAAGCTGAAAAGAGAAAAAAAATAAAATAAGTTGGTCTAAACAAATTTTTGAAAAACAAATGTTTCATCTTCTTCTGAGGTTTTTTGTTTATTTGTTTTAATCCTATCTTAAAGATGAAGCCAAGCTAAATTTCAAATCCTAATGAAATAATACCGAAATGAAAGCTTTAATACATCTGAAAGACTTCGTTTATTTCAGCTCCACAAACAGGCATGATGACAACTTGTGAATGGGCTATCAATTTGTAACTGTGTTTCTTGTCCAGTAAATTCTTAGTCCACAGAATTGTCCTGGGTTTGATAGTGCTGCTCTGTTGACTGCCTAGAGATCATCAATACCTCATGCAGTTGAAGTCTGAAATAAAATTAACCAAGGGTCAAAAGTTTCAAATACTTTAGTAGAGTTAATTAAAAGCCTGGAGAATGGTGAGACCAAAATGGCATCAATGATACCAGCTAACATAGGTAATTAATGTCATGCTTTAGGGAATATGCTGAATGCCTGCTTGGTCAGAAATAAATTTCCCCAGACTTCTGTGTGTAGCAGTATGGAAATTACCACCAGCAGTTACTTGTGATTTATTGATGTGATGTTACCATCTGCCTCTCTACAGCTATTTGTGTATTCCACAGCTGTGCTCTCACTGCACACAGCCATTAGGAGAAAATGCCTTTGCTGATATATTGAGCCTCACCAAACATTCTTTCTGAAGTTACAGCAAAATTCAGAGGTGATGTGTATAGTGACGTGACTCACAGACTGAAGCACTAATGGCAGGAATAGAGGGGATGAAGCAGCTGATAAAAGCATATCTTTAATTTAAAATATCGTTTTTCTAAATGTCAGTGGTGCTCCTTCCCTTCAGTGGAAATGAAGGAGGACTCTGACATTAACTGCTGTCTTCTGGTTTCTTTGAATTGCTCAGCAGGTGGGTTATATTGCCCAAGATATGCTTAGACTCATCTCTAGATACAGCCCTAGGCTATGGCTGCTCCTCTGAGAGATCATCTGTAGTCAAATGGCTTGCCTCCTACTGTCTTCTTTCTAAAAAGCTGCTTCTTAAACTGCTTGCAGACTTCTTGTGTGGAAGTGCCATAAGGCACATTAACTTTACAGACATGCTTAGGTATAGGAGATCCTGCTTGTTGTGGTCAAAGCCAAGCCTCAAGCAGAGTCACAGACATAGCTGTGAGTTTCCAACATCACCTAAGATATCGTGATTCCAAGTCACAGGTATAAATCTGCATCCCATGAATGAGTTCTACCATTGATTTTTTAATGTATAGAATCTTCTGTATGTTCTCATCATGATTTTAAAATATTCTATTGTGTTTCCTCTCCAGCCCTGGTGTCGATGTATTACCACTGTCTACAATTACTTTGTGGTGACCAACTTTTTCTGGATGTTTGTGGAAGGCTGCTACTTACACACTGCTATAGTGATGACTTACTCCACAGACAAGCTACGGAAATGGGTCTTTCTCTTCATAGGATGGTGTAAGTGACTTGTGTGTTTAAAATGGTGTTACGTGGTACCTGGCATTGAAGTGATAAAGACAAGAGCAGCAAGAATAAACTTTAAAAATCCAACTGGGGTGAAATCTGACATTCAGACCTAACTTTCCCAGAACAATATGAGATTAGAGTTAGTTCTTCAGTAAGCTAATAGGTTGTTGCTGGATTTATCTTTTTCATTTAGGTCCTCAGGCACCTGGTGTTAAGAAAGCTCTGAGGGCTCAGCATTTTGTGAATGAAGTAGTTCATACCATGTCCCTTTCATTTTGGTCAGCAAAGCAGTGGTCACAGCACAGCATGAGACAGAAAAATACTGTCTGTGCCCTGTGGACCACTCAGTCTCAAGAGACACTTCTAAGTGAGGAGCTGACTAGAAGAGAAGCCTAATTATCTTCCAGTCAGGCTTCACAGCTGTCTTTTGGACTGCTGAGCAATTTGTTCCTAGAAAACAGCCTTTAACAAAGTCATGTGTAATCTTTGTACAATCCTTGTGGCTACTCAAAGACAGAAAAATAGCTCATTGCACGCCCTGTAACTTCAGTTCTACTGTGTTGGCCTGAGCCAGAGCAAAGGCTGCTCCTTTTCCCTAGCTGCATCAACATAACCTGAACCATCCTGCTGTCCTGCTGAAAAGGATGTAGGGCTTGCAGTGGATGGAGGCTGAATATAAGTCATCAGTGCCTTCTCATCATGAATGCAGTAAAACTCATACTGGGCTGCACTAGAACTGTGGCCAGAAGATTGAGAGAAATTACTAGTACTTCCTACTGAGGTTTGGTGAGGCTGCCTTTCGAATAGTGTGGCCAGGTTTGGGTCTCTTAAGTCAAAAGGGATGTGTAAAAATGAGATTATCCAGTAGAAGGCTGACAGTGTGATCAAGGTTCTAGAGGACATGACCTGTGAAGTGAGGCTGAAGGAGCTGAGCTTGTTTAGTCAGGCAAAGACTAAGTTCAGGAGGGATCTGTTAGTAGCAAGAATGATTTGAATGATAACTGCAAGATGATGGAGCCAAATTCTTCTTGGTAATAGCAGCTGTTATAAGAAGGGACAATGGTCAAAAATTTCAGGCTGGGAGGTTCCAATTGGATGTTAAGAAAATAGATTTACCAAAAGCTAGCAGAACACTGGAACAGATGACTTACGAGCTGTGGAATCTCTGACCCTGGAGGTGTTGAAAATTCAGCAAAGCTAAGCCCTGGCTGAGGTGGGCTGGTGTTGATAGTTCTCCTTTGAGCAGGAGATTGGAGTGGATGTATTCAGAGGTCTTTCCAAACATGTCCGTATTTTGAACTTGGCCAGGAGAGGTTTTGCAAGAAGAGACCTGGGCAGGCAGCTTTTTTGCTTGAATGCAAAATCTGAGGTCAAACGGTACTAGTGAATTTGGCAGTTCTTTTCTGTTGAAAGGAGAAACATACAAAAAAGTCACAAGTATTTTCTTTTCTGAAAGCAGAATGCTATTTTGTTCAGAAATGCCCCCTCCTCTCAGAGCTGAGCAGAAATAATCGAATCGCAGTTGTGAAGGCAGAAATTATTTTAAAACAATGTATGTCATTTAATCCAGAATCATATAGGAGGAAAGAGGAGTTGTAGAAGAAAAAAAATGTTCATGTAGGGAGTTGATCAAATTTTTTTCCCAATATTTTTCAATTCTCTCACCAAACTTGAAACTGATGTTCACACAGCACTCAGATGCCCTCACTGGTTTGGTCCCTAGCATTTTCCCTCCATACCTCTCTCAGTGCCCTCTGGGTTTCTGATGGCTAATTGTAGGAGTGGTGTGAGCTGAATATATCTTTCCTCTCACCTTTCTGGGTGCTTTCTGTCTCTGCTTTGCCTTCCCATATACAATCCTTTAATCATCATCATTCTCAAATCCTGTTTCATAGGGAAGACTCAACTCAAAAAAATGTTGAGAATTTTGAAAATGTGCTTCATCCAAAGATCCAAATGAGTTTACAAGCTTGTTGCAGCCTGGGACATAAATATCTAACCTCCAAGTAGTCTTTAATGTTTTGCTATAGCAACTGCAAGAAAATCAAAGGGACCACAGTTGCCTTAAAGTCAACCACAATTGTTCTGATCTCTTACAGAAGTATACATGTGTGTTTCTTAATATTTTTATTAACTGTTCTTACTCTACCAGATGTTGAGATGATCTTTTTTATTTATAATTGTGATGTCTCAAGGTTACCAAGATCACTTGTATTTAGAGTCTTCAAGTGCCTTAACCAAGACTTTCCTCACACAAGTCTGAAACTACTTCAGTACCACCCATCCATCCATCCATCCATCCATCCATCCATCCATCCATCCACGCTGGAGAGTTGGGCGGGGAATAACTTGATGAAATATAACAAGGGAAAGTGTAGAGTCCTACATCTGGGCAGGAACAACCCCAGGTTCCAGTATAGGCTGGGGAACGACCTGTTAGAGAGCAGTGTAGGGGAGAGGGACCTGGGGGTCCTAGTGGACGACAGGGTGACCATGAGCCAACACTGTGCCCTTGTGGCCAAGAAGGCCAATGGCATCCTGGGGTGTATTAGAAAGGGGGTGGTTAGTCGGTCGAGAGAGGTCCTCCTTCCCCTCTACTCTGCCCTGGTGAGACCACATCTGGAATATTGTGTCCCAGTTCTGGGCCCCTCAGTTCAAGAAGGACAGGGACCTGCTGGAGAGAGTCCAGCGCAGGGCAACTAAGATGATTAAGGGAGTGGAGCATCTCCCTTATGAGGAAAGACTGAGGGAGCTGGGTCTCTATAGTTTGGAGAAGAGGAGATTGAGGGGTGACCTTATTAGTGTATATAAATATATAAAGGGGGAGTGTCACGAGGATGGAACCAGGCTCTTCTCAGTGGCAAACAATGATAGGACAAGGGGAAATGGGTACAAACTGGAACACAAGAGGTTCCACTTAAACTTGAGAAGAAACTTCTTCTCAGTGAGGGTGACAGAACACTGGAACAGGCTGCCCAGGGAGGTTGTGGAGTCTCCTTCTCTGGAGACATTCAAAACCCGCCTGGACACGTTCCTGTGTAACCTTATCTAGGTGTTCCTGCTCCGGCAGGGGGATTGGACTAGATGATCTTTTGAGGTCCCTTCCAATCTCTAACATACTGTGATACTGTGATACTGTGATACGTGATTAACTCCTGACTTTTTGCTTCTGCAGGTATTCCTTGCCCAATCATCATTGCCTGGGCCATTGGCAAGCTATATTATGAAAATGAACAGTAAGTGATGTTAACATTTGTGTTTATGTGCCTGTCTAAATTGATTAAGAAATGCCTACAGACTGAACTGGTAATTTAGAAATGAGGCTGACTGATAGGCAAGAACAAAGGTCAAATCACCTCCATTCAAGCCCAGAACATGTCAAATTTCAGAGTGCTACTTGAGTCAACTCCTGAAAATACCTTTCCCAAATATCCTTATCCAAGCCCTGAAGCTATCATTTCATAGTGCTATACATGATTAACAGTCATAGTAATGGGAATTACTTCAATGGGAATTTTGCTTGAATAAGACCTTGATAAAAACTATGGTTGAGCGCTTAAGGATTTAGCCTTCTGGGTATATAGAATTCAGTTGACAGTCTGCCAGGAATAATCCTGTGGCTGGAATTTTCACATTTCTGCTTCTGGCTTTTCCAATTAGAAGTAGTTAGTGCATGACATTGAAAAATATGGGAGCAAAATAGGCATCTGTGTTTTGGGAATGTTTTCCTAAAACATCAATACTGGTCAGATGCACTTTCCAAGTATAAGCTTAGCTTCTACTTTTCAACTAGTTAGTGTCTGGATCAATGCCTGTTGTCTGTTACAGCTCCCTTCACTAATATTAAAAAAAAATCTTTTCTCCATGAACCTGTTTTTCAAATGACCACACTGTTTGTCTGTCCATATCACATCTGATTAAATGTAAGCATGTTCTACCTTGTAGGTGTCTGCATCTCTACTAGCCTGCTGTGTCTTACAATTAATGATGGTCAGTCAAAACAGTAAATGCAGTCTGGGGTGCATTTCGTCTCGCCTCGAAGGAGGTGTCCAAAGTAGATTGGATGGATTAGACTTACATGCACTATTTCTCCTGACTACAAGGGAGATGGATAGGATGACAGGCTGAGCTTTGAGCTTCTGTGGTATAGGCATGAGAGGAATTTTACTCTGCACTAAGAAGTTCCTCTTCTCTGACCCCCACAAACTTTTGAACCCTTGACCAACCTCTCTTCTCTATTTTTAATGGTACTTTGAAGGTGATAATCTAATTCCCAGGAGTTACACATATTGGCAATCAGAGGCTCCCCTTCACTGAAGAAAAAGTATTCTGTGATTCTGTCCCTCGCTACAGTAATCATGCAGGAGAATTCATACCATAGTTTCAAAATTACCAGGAAAACTTCAGTTGGAACTTGTTTCAAGGGTGTCCAAGTCAATCAGGCCTAAAACATGACCTCAGATCACCAGATTTCACTGATTTCTGAGCTCACAGACCTTCTTGTTTCTGGATGGGTAAAGAATCACAACATTCTGGGTCTTCTTCATGGTCAGGTTCCATGTAGTTTTTACATTGCACAAGCCAGGGCAGCATGGCACCTGTCTCATTCTGCTGAAGAAGGACTTTAGACCTCAAGAAATAGAGCTGAAGGAATTAGCTTAAGCAGCACAAACCAAAATAACTAAAACTTGTGTCTTCAACACTGGAGAGGCAAAACACCACATGCTTTAATAATGGCAACGCACATTAAACATTCCTGTTGTGAATGAGTTCAACACCGAGGTTTGGACACCTGATTTTGGAAGACTGTTCATCAATCCTAAAAGAAATAATGTAAAGTAGGACCCCTGACAGAAATATGCCACAACATAGAATCACAGAATACTTAGGGTTGGAAAGGACCTTAAGATCTTCTTAAGTTCCAGCCACCCCTGCCACAGGCAGAGACACCACACACTCTCTGATCACACTGCACACAAGATGGCCAGATGGAGAAATCACTACAGCATCTGTACCTGTGCGTTCTTTCACCATCTTTGCACACCTGCAGCATGAATGTGAAGGGATCTCACCTTGATTTATCGTATAAGAAAAACATGATATGTTTATATAGGTACATGTGCTACCTCTCACCAGCAAAGGTGTAGCTGGCCCAGACCCTTCACAACAAAAGGGGGGTACAAAATACAGTCATCAGAGCAAGAAAGACAAAATTATCCTATTTCATATGCAGAATATCTAAGCTATTCATGTTGAATTTCTAGGATCAGCTCTCGTCCTTGGGTGGATTATCGAATGGAACTTGTGCTTTTAAATCCATGTCATGGACAAACTCATGCACTCTTAATTACAGTATCACAGTATGTTAGAGATTGGAAGGGACCTCAAAAGATCATCTAGTCCAATCCCCCTGCCGGAGCAGGAACACCTAGATAAGGTTACACAGGAACGTGTCCAGGCGGGTTTTGAATGTCTCCAAAGAAGGAGATTCCACAACCTCCCTGGGCAGCCTGTTCCAGTGTTCCGTCACCCTCACTGAGAAGAAGTTTCTTCTCAGGTTTAAGTGGAACCTCTTGTGCTCCAATTTGTACCCATTACCCCTTGTCCTTTCATTGTTTGCCACTGAGAAGAGCCTGGCTCCATCCTCGTGACACTCCCCCTTTATATATTTATATACACTAATAAGGTCACCCCTTAATCTCCTCTTCTCCAAACTATAGAGACCCAGCTCCCTCAGTCTTTCCTCATAAGGGAGATGCTCCACTCCCTTAATCATCTTAGTTGCCCTGCGCTGGACTCTCTCCAGCAGGTCCCTGTCCTTTTTAAACTGAGGGGCCCAGAACTGGACACAATATTCCAGATGAGGTCTCACCAGGGCTGAGTAGAGGGGAAGGAGGACCTCTCTCGACCTACTAACCACCCCCCTTCTAATACAACCCAGGATGCCATTGGCCTTCTTGGCCACAAGGGCACAGTGTTGGCTCATGGTCACCCTGTCGTCCACCAGGACCCCCAGGTCCCTCTCCCCTACACTGCTCTCTAACAGGTCGTTCCCCAGCCTATACTGGAACCTGGGGTTGTTCCTGCCCAGATGCAGGACTCTACACTTTCCCTTGTTATATTTCATCAAGTTATTCCCCGCCCAGCTCTCCAGCCTGTCCAGGTCTCTCTGGATGGCAGCACAGCCTTCTGGTGTGTCGGCCACCCCTCCCAGCTTAGTGTCATCAGCAAACTTGCTGATAGTACACTCAATTCCCTCATCTAAATCGTTGATGAATATATTAAATAATACTGGTCCCAGTACCGACCCTTGAGGCACTCCACTAGATACAGGCCTCCAACTAGACTCCGCCCCATAGACCACAACTCTCTGGCTTCTCTCCTTCAGCCAGTTCACAGTCCACCTCACTACCCGATCATCCAGACCACACTTCCTCAATTTAGCCGCAAGGATGCTGTGGGAGACCGTGTCAAACGCTTTGCTGAAGTCAAGGTAGACCACATCCACCGCTCTACCATCATCCATCCACCGTGTTATTTCCTCATAAAAGGCTACGAGATTGGTCAAGCACGACTTCCCCTTGGTGAAGCCATGTTGACTGCCCCTCATAACCCTCTTATCCTTGATATGCCTTAAGATGGCACCAAGGATAAGGTGTTCCATCACTTTCCCAGGAATGGAGGTGAGGCTAACCGGTCTATAGTTACCTGGGTCCTCCTTCTTGCCCTTTTTGAAGACAGGAGTGACATTTGCTTTCCTCCAGTCCTCAGGCACCTCTCCCGTTTCCCAAGACTTGGTAAAGATGATGGAGAGCGGTCTAGCAATGACCTCAGCCAGTTCCCTCAGCACCCGCGGGTGCATCCCATCTGGACCCATGGATTTATGGATATCCAGATTGCTCAACTGGTCTTTAACCCATTCCTCATCGACTAAGGCAGACCGCTCCGTTGACCTATCTTCATCCGAGGTCTCAGCGGTACAGGGCTCTTCAGGACTGCCTCCGGCAGAGTAGACAGAGACAAAGAAGGCATTCAGTAACTCTGCCATCTCTGTATCTTCTGTCACCAGGGCACCCGTCCCGTTCATCAGCGGGCCTACATTGCCTCTGGTGTTAGTTTTACCTGCCATGTATTTGAAAAAGCTCTTTCTGCTGTCCTTGACCCCTCTCGCCAGCTTTAATTCCAAGGAGGCCTTAGTCATCCTAGCAGCTTTCCTGCATCCTCTAGCAGCAGCCTTATATTCTTCCCAAGTGGCCAGCCCTTCCTTCCATGACCTGTAAACTCTCCTCTTCCACTTGAGCATACCGAGCAATTCCCTATTTAGCCACGCAGGTCTCCTGACCCTCTTCCTTGACTTCCTACGTGTCGGGATGCTCCGATCTTGAGCTCGGAAAAAGCAGTCCTTGAACGTCAACCAACTATCTTGGGCCCCTTTCCCTTCAAGCAGCCTAGCCCACGGGATTTCCCCTAGCAATCGCTTGAAGAGGCCAAAGTTTGCCCTGCTAAAGTCCAGGGTTGCGATTCTACTTGCTATTCTACTGACCCTACCACACAAGATCCTGAATTGTACCATCTCGTGGTCGCTGCAACCAAGGCAGCCCTCAACCTTCACTCCTTCAACCAGACTCTCCTTGTTAGTGAGGATGAGATCCAGCAGCACACCTCTCCTGGTTGGCTCCTCCACCATTTGCACGACATTTGCCTAATATGCTTGCCAATGAAGGAAGTGCCAGGTTAGTCTTGATAAATTCAGACAATAAGACCTGATGTTTTGGGGTGTTTTCACCTTTCTGTCTTTAATGCTGACGTTTGCCTTGAAGTGAAATCTTCACACACATCCTCACTGTGTATCATAGCTGCTCTAAATGTATTGTGCATTGAGAAAGTCCCTACAGCTTCAGGAGTGCAATTCCTTTGATCTAGCACATGCACCTAGACAGATAGGCAGAGCTCTTTTAAAAGAACATCTAATAAGGGCATTAAGCTGTAAGGCAAAGGCTATAAAATGAATTCTGCTTTTCATATTTGTAGTAATACTGTATGTAGGGGAGACTCAGTAAAATGAATGAACTGAAGCAAAACAAGAAATTAATAATTTGTTGAGGGCCCGTCAGTTGTCATAAATATTCAGTCGTCTTCTTGAGCGTTAAAGCGTGTAATAATTCAGAGAGCCCCTGCTCACTGACTCCTGGCCTGAGGAAAGGAGCAGATTCTGTTAAACAGTCAAACTGAAGCACATGTAGGAATGTATTTCTGGTACATGTGTGTGAGATGTTCACGTGTGTGTATTTAATTTACTTACTCTGAATTAATTTACTTACTCCTCTGAAGTCCATCAGCCATTGAGACAGTTTACACTAAATTTTGGGGCATTTACAGAACCCTTTCTCTGTGGTGGGATGATATAGAAATCATGCTTTTCACCTGGATTCTCCAAGAATGTGCAAATATAGACAAATGAGAGAAAACTGAGCCCTGGCTTTGAGAAGCAACAGCTCAGGATACTGGAGAATCTCTCACCTGAGGAGAAGCTGAGAGGGGTGGGAGTGTTCAGCCTGGAGAGGAGAAGGCTTGGGATATTCTTATCAATTTTATAAATAGCTTACAGGAGGATATGAAGACGGTGGAGCCAGACTCTTCTCAGTGGTACCCAGTCACAGGACAAGAAGTGGTGGCACAAACTGGAACACTTGAAATTATGTCTGAACATCTAGAAACACCTTTTTGCTGTGAGGGTGGTAGAATGATGGAAGAGGCTGCCCAGGGAACTCCTGGGGTCTTTAACCTTGGAGCTGCTCCAAAGCCAGCTGGGCACAGCTCTGAGCAACCTGCTGCAGCTGACTCTTGGAGCAAGGGGGTTGACTAGTCAACCTCCAGAGGTCCTGCCAACCTCAGCTGGTCTGTGAAAACATGCTGCTCTCCCCAGGAAGCCTATCTTTAAGCTCCATTTATCTTGACCACTGTGGAAATCGTGTATTCCCTCATGAGGTTAGACCTAGCAAACTGGACACATGCAGAAAACATACACTCTCCTGCAGCTTCCAAGACTGTTTGGATATCTCAGTGGACAGCCCAAAATTCAGGACAAAATGGGAAACTCCTTCATCTGAGCATGCATTTCAAGTGTAACTTGTTTGGAGGTTGAATGGGGGTTCTAGTTATGTAACTGACAGTCATTTAAAAACTCAAAATAGTACACAGGAAGAATGTTTAGAAAATGCTTCAACCAGCTTATTTTTTTCATTTTTGTCCTTACTGGAGACCATGTTCTGCATGGTGAGGCAAAATACAGTCAGTACTGTGGCAAATACCCTCCCTGGGTTTTGCAGCTCTTTAACAAAATCTGACAGCTCTGAAAAAACAGTACTGTTAAGTCTCAATTGTTAAAAATTATTGTAGTAATTTCATTGATGGACAGTTGGTAAGGGGAAGAACATTAGTAAGATCTAATTAACGCTAGTGATAAAACCAATGATGGCTTTTCTATATAAAGAAGTATCCGAGACCCATGAAGAATATTAATTAATGCTTTTCAGTAGGAGTGTTTACATATCTTAATCTAATCAGAACTGTCTTCCTAATTGTCCTCTTCAATATTCAGGGAGTGTTTGTTTATTCTTTCAGAGGTTAAAAAAAAAAAAGGGGGAGAAAAAAAAAGAAAAAAGATAGAAAATGGTGTTTATTTTGAACAGGTTGAATTAAAATTCTGATGCACTAAGTAATTTTCTGTGGATTTTGGTTTTAAAGAAATATACAGGGCTGATTTCATTGCAGAAATAATGTCTTCTGTTGGATTTAAAGTATGAGTTAAGATGACAGGAAGAAGATTTTGCAGTGTCTCAGCTAAGGTCCCAGACTGAACAGCTAGATTATAAACATGAATTACAGCTAACCAAATGCAGGCATCTGTAATGTCAGTGACAAACACTGGTCCTCCCATCCGTACTCACCTGATTTAAGGGGTATATTAGAAACATTTAGGTTACAATGTAATAGATCTGTTTTATAGCCTAATGAGCTGAGCACTGTTCTAGAAAAGCTGCCTTTTTTTCGCCACTAACTACAAAAGGAATCTGAAGCCTCCAGGTCCTCAGTTAGATAACTTGTGGAAGGCTACCGTTGGCCACAACCTTGTTGTTTGATTGTGTGTTTATACACATGATGCTTCACTCAATGCAACCTTGGTCTAATACGGGGCATCAGATAATAAGTGTCAGCATTTTGCTCTTTAGTATTGTCTTACAGTTAAACGATATTTGAATTCCAAAGAACAGTGAGCAGCCTTTGCCCTGGAACATCATGTGTGCTCTCCCAGCTCAGTTCCAAATTCTGTGCTGACATTTTCTAGGCCACTAATTCCGGCACATGCTTAAGTCTGCTTCTTATTAGTCCCTCTGATAGATTCTGCTGCTAGAACAGCCAGCTTCCCAGAAACTTCTAATAGCTCTTGGTTCTCTGCATTTCAGGCACTATATAACAGTTCTCCCAAAATGCCCTTCAAAAGCCTCTCTCAAATGTACATCCTGCAAGTTCTGGAGAGCTGTGTTTCCTGCCTTGGCACATCCCGTAACTCATTCCTCTTCATATCTTTCCATCTGCATGACAAAAAAAAACAATAAAAAAAAAATTAAATCAGTTTCATTCATTTAAGGCTGCCCTCAGAGTTCTTCTTGGATGATAACTTGGCTGGAGGAAGTACTTTATTCCGTCTTGCCCTCATCACGAAATTTTGGAATATTAGCTGCAAAATTGCCAATTTACACTAATTTGCTGTCAGTGCACCAGGGAATACAGACATGTCTATATTTATAAAATATTCAAAGCTCTCTCATTCATTTGGAATTTAAAAGATGTAGAAACTGAACCAAGAAAAGGCAAACAACTGTGTGATACTGAGTTGTGTTCCTAAATGCTTGATGCATATCTCAACATTTCCATATCATCAGTTCACTAAGAGCATTTTGCAATGGGCAAACAGCTTCTTTGGTTTTAGCAAACAGCACATTTTGGAGGAAGGCATTATGTGATTCAAAAGAATTCCACATGAAACATAGTTTTCCTTATCTCAGTTTATTTGCCTTGAACTCATGTGGTCATGTCTTACAGACTGCAACCTCTTTGAGGCAACAAGTATTATTTCTGGCATGCTTATAAAACTGCAAATCTGCACCTGTCTCCATGGTCTCCTTGGTGCAGGAATTACCCTTGGTTTCATGTCTCCAGTGGCACTAAGCTTGTCTTTTGTCACAAGGTGAACACGGAAAGCATAATTTTTCCTGTGTAGACTTGTTATGTGGTATTCACACAAGGGAAAAAAAATCTCAGATCCTTGAACTCCAAATTCCACTTCCTACAGGATCTGCAGCTCAGCTACCTAAACCTTAAGGCATTATGATAGCAAATTTGTATCTGCTTGGTGGAACCAGGATCAAGGCCATGTGGCTATGACTCTAATATTCAATTAGCTGTGTCTGGAATTGTTACTGAGGCTGGAGTCCAAATAGCATGAAGTATTTCCATCCATATTATTAAACCCTCTTGGCCTCCAAATCAGGGTAGCTGCATTATGTGGACCATTGACAATGTCCTCTGGCTCATGCTAGCTCCAGATTTGTTCTCCAGGAATACTTTTGGAGTTGGCTATTGCTTGGCCTGGGCCAAAAATGCATCAAGGAAAAATACAGTAGTTTGAATGATTGAGTTCAGACCTGAGCCCAGTTTCTGATTCATTTACTGACATAAGTATACTGACATAAGAAAGTTGGGGCTGTTCAGCCTGGAGAAGAGAAGGCTGCGTGGAGACCTCATAGCAGCCTTCCAGTATCTGAAGGGGGCCTATAGGGATGCTGGGGAGGGACTCTTCATTAGGGACTGTAGTGACAGGACAAGGGGTAATGGGTTAAGGCTTAAACGGGGGAGTTTAGATTGGATATAAGGAGGAAATTCTTTCCTTTTAGGGTGGTGAGGCACTGGAATGGGTTGCCCAAGGAGGCTGTGAATGCTCCATCCCTGGCAGTATTCAAGGCCAGGTTGGACGAAGCCTTGGGTGAGATGGTTTAGTGTGAGGTGTCCCTGCCCATGGCAGGGGGGTTGGAACTTGATGATCTTAAGGTCCTTTCCAACCCTAACTATTCTATGATTCTGACTGATTTATTACTCTCAGTTAAGAGAATGAAGTGAACAACAGAATGGGTTGCTGCAAAATCATAGGTTTAGTCTGTTGTATTACACAGCTGGGAGAAAAACACTTGCCATTAGTGGAAGTGAAGGCCAAGCCAGCACTCAGTCACTTATGACACATCCAGGCTCTCTGCTAGTTCGAGGGTTTTCAGTTTACCTGTGGTTTCACTTCACCTGAGTTGATTTCCCTTTGGTGATGTTGGATCTGGTATTTGCTAGCTTCAGATGATGTCTCTGTACTATATGCTGGATTTGGTAGTCACCAGCTTGGTTCAAAGCCAAGCCAGTATCTTATTTAGACAGCATTTCCACGCAACTTGAGACATACTTGCTTTAGGTAACAGCCCTTAATTTGTGGAATTTAAGTGTCTCTGGGCACTGCAATAGATAACAGATTATTTTTTCTTTACAAAGAATATTTCTTTCATCCCTTTTTCAGACCCAGCAAGACACACCTTCTTCATCTTTTTTTTTAGCAGGTTCTCACATTTCTTGGAAATATTTACATGGGCAGTAGCAAAAAAACATAGAAGGAACATGAATGGTCTAATGGGAGGGGAAAATCAGGGCCAGGTCTGTGTCCAAACTAAACGTGGCTTTGTAGCAAAAAACTCAGTCACTTGCTGATTGTGTATATGACTAAATAACTTGGGAAATCAGGGAATTTTTCCCTACAGTGCCCTTGAGATTACAATCTAAAAGAAGTGCATTACCCTTTATAAATTATTTTCTTACTTGTTTGTTTTTGTTTTGTGGTTTTTTTTCCTTTCAGATGCTGGTTTGGAAAAGAACCAGGGAAATACATCGACTACATATATCAAGGGCCAGTGATTCTTGTTCTTCTGGTAAGCATGTATGTGGGTGGAATTATGCTGCCATCTTCCACTGAGGGGAAATTTGATAGGCATCTGTTATGTTCCACATCTACTTTTATGTAAAATAAGATACAAACAAGGTCAAACGTCTCCAGCTGTTCTCTGAAGTTGCCACTGCAGCTAACGTTACAAGTCAAAATTACAGTGATCTAGTTTTGACTGTTTCCTTGACCTCAGGGCATTCTTTCCTTCTCCATCTGTAATGCTCTTTGCCTTAGTGCAATGTCCTGAGATGCGGCAAGTAAAAATATTCAAAACCAGAAGGTACGTACAATATCCGCTCATCCCCTTGAGGCTCTTGAGAACGAGGGCAATTCCATCATGCACAGATTAGAAAAATGTAGTCATTATGTAAGGAATTGCATCTCCTTGTACAGGTGTCTCCATCTTCTAGATCCCCATCATTGCTGTGTATTTGTTAGCTTCCCTGTTGTTAAGTTTCATTTTCAGTGCCGCCTACAGTTAACAGGCTGTTTATCTGTTTACCCAACACTGTCTCCTGTGCCAACAAAGAGTAGGCAGAGGAAGAAGGAAGCTCATTCATAAATCATTTTGAACCATCAACTAAAGCACAGTGATGCTTTCTCAGAAAATACTGGGTGTGGACGGAAAAGATCAATGCTATTAGAAAGGACAATGCTGAAAAAAATTATTCTATTCTTCCACTCCTTTGCCGTAAAAGCCACCTAGAAAGAAGGCAAATGTCCTAACAGAGGATACATAGGGCTCATTGGGCTCCCCTTTCAGGGAACCAAGACTCAGTATAGCTCTCTTATGCCACTCCAGCACTCAAATGCTCCAGAATAAGCAGCCACTGCCAGCTTTTTCAAAGCCTTGTGCTCTCACCTTGTCTATGCTGTGCCTTTCATGTGATTCAACATGAAAAAAACCTTCTCTGTTGCCTAGGAAGCTAACTACTAATCTGAATGTTTCCTAACCTGAAATCATGAGTTAATTTCTGTAATCATTAAGATGCAGCAAACAGGCAATATTGTAAGTAGCTGAAAAGAGAAAAAATGTAGTAGGAGTCTGGTTTTGTCTAAAAACTCTTTTTTTATTTTCTAAGGAGGAACATACAATTGGTGTGCACAATATAATTGTGTGTCACCAAGGGAGTCATCCCAAACCCACAAACAGCCTCACAGTAAATTGTCTCACTGATACAGACTAACGCGCAAAGGAATCCTATTTAGACAACACAAGGTAGAAGGCTTGCGATGCCTGCAGCATTTAGATTTCAAATCATTGCCTCGAAGTCTGTGAATCTATCATAACGCCTTTAGTCAACAAGATCTGTAAAGGCCTTGGATAGCATCTCTGGCAGATACCACAGGTACCTTAGAGACCTGAAAATAGCTTTGTTCTCCCAAAAACTTCACTTTATAGACCCCAAAGAGGCACAGAAAATAGAGGTATGGTTGAAGGCTGCCTCTTTATATACAGATCTACATCTAATTTAGAGCAGCCTTGAGACCCCTCTAAGCTGAGCCAGTAACTTTGTTGGCCTGAACTGACATTCTGTATTGAACCTTTCTACATTGGCCTGCGCTTGAGCCCTAATTAAAACACTAATGAGATGACAACAGTAATTGCATTGTGGGCTGGAAAGCAGCTGATACAATTTTGAAAAGTAGCATAAGGACAAGCTCTTCCTTCCCTCTCCATATGGTTACTCGCATCAAAAAGCACTTCTGGGAGAGGAAAGGAGGTTTCTGGAAATATAATCTAAAAGCCAAATCTGAAAATTCCTCTTACAATACACTCCTCATTGCAAAAATATGCCCCCCCTCCCCTTTTCTTTTCAAACTATCAGTTGGGTCTTGTGTTTATAATTAAAATATATAACTCCACAGTGTGTTAAAGCAACTTGACAAGGTCATTTTTTGATCCTTATGCAAATGAAATCAAATCGTATGCAATGACTCAAGCATCACATATTATTAAAGGAGTTACTGACCCTTTCAAGGGTGTCATGAGAAATGCTGGATTAAGAGCACTGAAGTTTGATGACCTGACATATACTCCAGGCAACACAGTCAAACACAGTCAATGCCTCTGCCTTACACAGATGGGGACAAAATGCTGCTTTCCTCTTCCCTCCAGTGAACAATGGTCACCAGAAATGGAACACACAAAGATTTAACAAATCATACAAGTCTGTGATCTCTTTCAGTCACAGCTATTGAGTTGAATTTGAACAGATGAAGATAAACATTTTTAATTGAAGTTTATGTTTTATGAAAGAAAAAACACCAATTCTAAGAGAGAATTATTATCCCTCTGTACTGGGAGCTCACACTAAAAACTCCATCAAATTACAGTCCCTATCCACATGTGACCACTTAACCCATGGCAGTTAAATAGGTTTCATCCACTTTACTTAACTAAGAGCCAAGTTACCAGTGCACAGCTCAGCTGAGTTTTGTTTCCTTGTTTGACAAAGGTAGCATCATTACGTGTTTGAGAGCATCATTGTACCAGCCAGTGGCAATATGATTTGAGTCTGCTTGTTGGTAAAATTCTTAGTTCCAGAGGATGAAACCTGCTTCAAAAGATGCCAAGTCTCTTTAAAAGATACGAGGATTTTGTGTCAAAAATTATTTCCACTCGTTTTGATTTCTCATTTTATTGCCTCTATGCATTGAACTGCTGCAGCAGAAGACAGCCTAACACCAGGAGTTCTAAGGTCATGCTGGAGTTCTAAGCCTCACTGGGAAAAAAAGATTGGCCCAAAATAAGCCCTTTGATCATGATAGTAGTCCTCAAGTCTATCTTTAAATCATATTATTTCTGTTACATCTAAGGGAACAAAAACTTTGAATGCTGTAGAGATATTTCTTTGATTGCTTTCCTACTTGTCTTTAGAATAAACCTGAATGCTGACATAGGCTGAAAACAAGAAACAATTTCTGATACAATTTCAGAGGCAAAGGAAGCTGGGTATAAATGCCGATATGCTGATCCTAAGCGTTGAGTAAGAAACTTGTATATTGACAAAAAACTATGAGAGAGAAAATGTAGGTAATCATCCTTCTTTCCTTCATTTCTGAACGGATTTTGGGCTTGAACATATTCCAGGAGAGATCTAACCATTCTGTACATTGGATGCTTTGCAGTTCAATAACACTATAAATATACACTCTGCTAGATATCTTCTCTTGAAATTAGAGGGGTTTTTTTTAATTATGGTGTCTTTCCTCAGAGTGGCATAACCAAGTTTTAACCATACATCCCTCTTGGAACTCGAAGAAGGGACAGAGGGTTCGATATACATGCCAGAGAACTGAACTTCAGCCTGATTTTATTAAGAAAAAATAACTTCTTATGTGCAATTTTAAATACAATCTCTGTCAAAGAACTGGTGAACCATTAAAACAGCAAGATCAGAGGACAAACCACAGGGGCACAGACAGGCATCAGAAGCAGCTACTTCTTTTTCAGTAACTACTGTTGTGAATTGGACTGCTCTGCAATATTTCACAGAGCTAAAACTGAATTAAAATTTCTGTTTTTCAAACAGGCAGATCAAATATTTGGTTTTTTTTTTCAAACCTTTCTTCCAGTTTTAGTTGTTTTTTTTTCCCTTGTGCTTGAGAACTGAATAGTTTTGTAACCTCTGCTTTTTGAGTCTTATTGAAAATAATTCACCACAATCAATTAACTGCTGCTGTAAGTGGGTATGTGAGCTGATAGGAAGACCTGGAGATCACTTCTCTTTCCTTCATCAGCTGCTTACTTTTGAACAAGGTAGATTGCTGCTCTAGGTCTTAGTTTCTCCAGCTATAAAGCAAGCTTAATGGCACTTATCTTCCTTTGTAAAATGCTTTGAGAACCCTGGATGGCAAGTGCTGTAGAAGAGTGAAGTGTTCTTATGAGTTGAGCTCTTCCTTGTTCCAGTGTGGAATTTTTCTCAGGAGACAGCTGACGTGTAGTGAAGTGGTCTTTATGATGTGCTAATCATTAACAACATACCATTTTTGTGGTGGCAAGATCAAAGCTTGCCCCAGTACTCAAAGTGTGACCACACAAATCAATTTTTACAGCAGCATCCTGTTCTCTGTTTTATTTTCTTTTGCTTTCTCAGCAATCCAAATATTTTTCTTTCCTTTCTTGAATCATCTCAGTTCCTCATGACTTGAACCTGCCCTGCCTGTGAAACTGCCAGGTGGACTATTCACAGCAGCCTGCCCATGCTTTAGGGTCTCATGTCGTCTTGGTAATTTTCAATGTGCTGGTTGAGTGGTGGATGAGTTTCTTATTGAGGGCCTGTTCCTCTCTTCAGGCAAGAACTTTCTGTATGCCATTGTTATTTTTGCAAGGGGTAGTTTTTCTGGTGTTGCAACATTCAACATGTTCCTGGCTTCAGGTAAAATAATTGGAGAGAAGCCTAATTGAGTCACATGTGACTAGAGACCCCATGGTAGTTGATTTTACTGGGGAGTTACCTGCAGTATGTTTCTTTAACAAAGCTTTTTGAATATAGGGTGTTTCAGGAGAGACAGAAGGACCAGCACAGTGGTAAGAGGGGGGTTATAAGACTGGAAAAGAGGCTGAGGACATGCTCATGCATGATACAGGGTTCTAGTGAGGAAATGGTGTGATCCCAACTAGGACTGGAGTAGTTTGGGCTTGAGTTTAGGTGACAGTGTGGGCAAAGAAGGGCCTGTGTGCTGATGTGTAACACACACATTAGGTAAGGAGGGTGTGTGTTCATTTACCACTTTCTCCCTCCCTCACCAAACCACACCATCCCATGCAATCTTCAGGATGGATATAGTCCTGCTGTGCTTGCCTGAAGACTCTTCCATCGTCTCCTTAATCATGACCATCAGCCACATTATGCCTCGCTCATCTTAATTGTAACTTGTTATTCCTGATCAGATCGTATTTTCCAGCACTTTGCTATATGCCAAAATGAATCATTGTGGTGCCTGTAACTCTTGAAAGGAAAAACTTTATGATAAAAAGCCCTGTTTGAGTGTGTGTCAAGACAGTATGATAGAAAAAATAAAACACGGCATTGATAAACTGTCTGACTATTCATTTGAGGTCAGGGTGACAGTATATCATGCTCCAGCTAAAATGACAGCAGTGATGCCAATTTGGGTTATTTAATCCTGGGGTGGATTTTATCTTGTTGCATAAAAATGCAAAGAAGTCTAAACAGAATAATATTTACATTTCCTGGGAGTAAAGAGAAGCAAGCATTCTAGGAAGCACAGAAGTACAAGCTTTCTGTGAAGCATAAAAGAGAAAGCCCAGCAGAAACGAGCAAAATAAATGCTAATTGCTCATTAAACTCTCAAAAGAGAAGAAGAAGAGCTTAATTACTTCCCATTTAAATTCCTGAGCTTAAGGAAAACCCTAAAGAAGCCTTCACATTCATCGTTCCCTCTTTTACACATCTTGGAATACTTTGGCTATTTCATGTCTCTAAGGGAGATAAATTTCCTCCCAAGTGGAGTTTGGATTTTATGACAGAAAATTTTTATGACCTAAATCTTTCACTGAAAAGTTTCTTTTGGTTCAAAAAAGCTTCTGGATTTGTATGTTCAGATTATAATTGATCAGTGCCAAAACAGATGGTTCAAATGCTTTTTGGATCACTGGTTTATAGCTCCATTTTGGGGCTCTGAATTTTAATCTCAATTTAGAAATGGAAACACTAAAATTCCAAGGCCCTGGGAAGATAGGAAAACTGCTTCTTTCTCATCTGTTAGTTGGAGAGAGTTTTATTCCAGCAGTAAGGATATTCTTAGCACACCATAAATAAGAGAATAAGAAGTAAGCTGGTCTATTCTGTCATCAAGACCTCACCTTCAGATTCATTTTACCTATCACTGAATATAAAGGGAAAAATCATTAGTTCTATTTTGTATTATGAAGCAGAAAACATGAATAAACAAAAATGAATAAAAACATCAAATGAGATTAAATATAAAGGATGCACTGCCTGTCATCATTACTTCTCTTAAATGTCCATTCATCAGCCTCCATGTATGGAACTAATGTGTGGGTTTTGTTACAGCTGTCTAGTTCTGAGACAAATTAATTTGTTGACACAGAGCTCCAATAATAACAAGAAAGTCCTTGACAAATAACTGTGTGCTAGATAGAGTACAGAATCTCTTTCCTAGGAGCACTCACTTTGCAGTAGTAAGATCTTTCTTACTTTGAAACACTACTGTACATACATACATAAGCAATAAACACCAGAGGCTGCATCTTCTTTGCTTGTTAATCAGAATCAATCTGTTGGTCACTAGAATTAGGTTTCATATAATATAATGTCACAGATCCTCAGTAGATACAGCCACACTCATTCAGTTGAAGCTCCCATGGGATACCCCTGGACAAGCTGAAGATCACTGGATGATTTATTTGGGCAACTGGTTCAAGTCCAAGCACTATTTATCCAAAACCTCCCATTTAAAATATGTCAAATGAACCACTGTTGAGAGGTATCTGTTTCTTTCCACTGAATATGAGTAGAACCTGGGATAACCAGCTGCCTAGAAGTAATCTAAAATGAAATTATGTCAATCCAACTCAGCTATTTGCGCTTTTACTGTGTGATAGAATCACTTTACATGCGAGGCCAAATCACTTCACTCCTAGGTAGCTAATGCAGCAACATACACCATGGCACCAAAAATGGCTCTCAGTGACTGTGTTTAGGCAACTAAACACAACCTGGTAATACAACTCTTTAATTTATGCCTTCCCAACAGGTCTGTCTATGCAGATCATATAAGCAGGCACTTCAAACTGGGGAGAGCCATCTCAGGCTGAAGTAAACATCTCAGATAGGAAGAATTATATTGTAAAACTACTTATTTTTCTTCATAGGTTATTAAAAGAGGCAGTGATAACTAGCTCAGGGGTAGTTATCTACCCTGGGGCTGTCTACAAGGCTACTGAGTTTTATTGTGGGCATGAGACCTGTAGCATCCTGTTTGGCATTTGAAGGATTGCACAGCAAAGGAGAACTCTGGGACAAAGATAGAAGGAAAACAATATAATAGTAAGATGTTTGCAAGACCATCAACCTCGTTGACAAGTACATGATTACAAACATTAATGGAAGAGGCAGGGTGACAGTCACTCTGATATGAAGACTTGGGATTGCTCAGTACATCCTCAGGTGGATTTTAGTGTCTGTCTTTGGGCTCACAGGCTTGAGCACTGCCCAAGTGACTAAGGATATTCAATGCATGAACTAGGAAGAGGACTTGCGGTGAGTGGCCTCTCTCCTAGGAAATATTACAGAAATAATGTCACTAGCAGGCTTTCCCCTGACACTGGGCAGCTTCTTAAAAGTAAACACTGATCTGTCTGCCTTCCTGTTGCTGTTCTAGACAGTTGTGGTCTCCTACCAGCCCTGTGTCACACGGACCAGTGCCACCCGTAGGCCTTCACTGTGTGAAAGTTCCTCAAATGCTGCTGTGGTCTGTGCTTGGGCAGCTGAATTGTCTCTCTGAATGTGGCCTCCATTGGGATGCTCAGATTTTGGTGGTACCCAGCACAAGAAAGCTTCGTCTGAGAGTCAGTATTACTGCTGCCAAACAGATGAGCTAGCCAGCTGTCCCAGGGATCAACACAAACATACATGAAAATTTAGGTGAGAAGTATTAATACATCCTTTCTGTATATCATCAATGTTTTCTTTCTGCAACCCTCAAATAGGGGAATCTTAGGGGAAAGAGTGGGAGAATGAAAAATTGATCTATACAGAATAAAGAGATATTTCTAGTGAAGTAACTCCCAAACTTTTCAGCTAACAATCCTCCTTCTGGACTGATGAATCACACTTCTGCAATTTAATTTCACACAAGATCAAAATTCTTAATTTTTCTGATGCAGCCTGCGGCAGTTTGAATTTCCAGTTCCCTCTTGTCACATCAAAGTAGGACTCGTGAAACTTGAAATGCTTTCTCTTGTCCAGTTCATCATGTTAACCCCATGTGATTAGTCCTACTTATATTTGGAACTTGCGCATCCCTGAGAGTGTATAATTCCATCTGGCACCTTCCATTATGATTGCAAAAGTGGCAAGTATCAGTGCCCTTTCTGCATCCTCAATAGAAATAACCCAAAGCTAGCTCTGAGCTGACAAAGAACCTTCAGATTTACTAGCAGAATTTCAGAGGCAGAAGTTTTCTTTCTGTGGGATAGACACCCCCATCCGCCTCCCCCTCAGCAGAGGTTGACTGAGCATTTTCTGAATTGAGGAATGGTGTAGTCATCAATGTGAGGAGTTAAAGTTTCAAGTCAAACCAGTGATATGAGGCTGGTTTAGTCTCTGATAAATAGAGAACCATTTAACCTCAAGCTCTTAAGTATGACAAAGACAATTCTAACAAAAAAAAAAAAATACAAACTGCACTATTTTATTTCCTATACTGCCTAAAGCTCTCCTGATAAGAAAATAATTTCAAATATGTCACATGTTAACTCCTATAGCAGCATTTTTGTAACTATCTCACATACTAAGTGTTTAATGTTCATGCTTACCAACACTGCCAGTCTGCCAGTGTCTATTCAGGTGCTTATTGTACCATTTCTTATAAATAATGTTAAAGCAACTGCAGGGGATGATCTGATGGATGCCAAGATACTGCAATCATTGAAATATACCACACTGCATGAAATAATAGCAGCCTATTTTGAGAACACCTTGAAATTGGCAGCTCTGCTACAGCTTTCATAAAGAGTTGGAGGTCAATCACAGAAACATTCCATTCATAGACTGCAAAATGCCAGGAACCCTGGCACTCTGGAAATGTGTGTGAGATAAATGTCTTCTCAAAAGCATAGGCTGTGACTTCGGTAGTCCTGAGATAACAGTTCTGTAGTTCTGACAGTGTACATCGTCAACAATTTTGAGGCAGATCAGTATGTTGTAAGCTGCACTACTTCATGAGTTGAAAGCAACCCAAAACTTGCTCCTCAGTGCCAAATCCTTCTGCTAATCACAGTCTATAATCCAGAATCTTCTTTTCAGGGTTGTTTGCTTGGTGGTTTTTTTTTTTTCTTTTGTGTTTACAGTGAGAGGAAATTTATGTAACAAGGTTGCTAGCAATGCTACAAGAACAGTAATTAGAGCAAAACTCAATTCTCAGTGCTGATATGGTAACAGAAATACTAATTACCTATCTCAGCAGATTAAAAAGGATAGTGGTAAATATAATCATCTCATCTTTAAAGACTGCAAGGAAAAATAAGGTTTTTTCAGGCATGGTTTATCTGCTCTGTTTTAAACGTCTCTTGCAAGTGTAAGGTGTAGCTTTCACTGAATAGAAAGGGAGCCTGGTGTGGCTAGCTCACATTCAGATCCCTGCAGTGCAGCCTTGTACTGTAGGCCTGTGAAGCCCTACCTAACCGTTACGGCCTCCTGTGGAACGGAAAGATGGTTTCAAATGCCTGTCATAACAACACAGCACAATGCTGCCAAATGGTCTGTGCAGGGAGCCTTGGATGTGCTCAAACAGAAACAAAGGTGAGTAGCCAAACAAATCCCACCGTTAGTTCTTTGTGGCACCCAGGAAGGGAGTAATAGAGAATAAAAATAAGTACCTTGCTGAGACCTTGAATTTTGTGCTCCATTTTCATTGCTGTTTTGAAAACATTAATAGCCTTTGGATATTTGCTGCATAGTTGGATATTGCCAGTAAACTTCCAAGTCTGTTGCAATCAGTGATAAAACCAAAAGGCTGTTTTCAGATTGGAACTACAAAATGTGCCTTTTAAGGAGTATCACATCCTTTAAGCCATTACTTGATTCAGCAGTCTTATTTTTTCCTCTCTTTTCCTTCTTTTCCAGATAAATTTTGTATTTCTATTTAATATAGTTAGGATTTTAATGACAAAGCTGAGAGCTTCAACCACTTCAGAGACAATACAGTACAGGTAAGTCAGCTGGTGCTTCTTGCTCTTTCTGGTGTTAAGAAAGTACTACCTTGCCTGTCTTGCCCTTGTCCTATCTTTGTCCTTCTGGATGACACTGTTGATCTCAGAGGGTGTCTTTATTGCCCTTTGAGCTCATACAGTTAAGTACACAGTATTTATTTTTGCAGGCTACCTATAAAAGTGTGCCTGCTTTTTGTCTGTCCACTCCATTTCAGTGTTCAAGCAAAGCAAACAGCCTAGGCTTACAGATACAGCCATGTGCCCTGCCACAGTCAGCAGCCTCTTCACCTCCATCAGGCGTGCACATGCCAACACACACATGAAATTTCCCACTTCCAGTGAAATCAGAAGGATTTGATTTCAAGTGGGGATAGGAACTTTATCAATTTCTGGATGTACACAAGCATACGTATTATATAAATATATCACAACTTCTTTCACTGATGACTAGGACATTCATGTAGCTAAGTCAGTGAAAAACTGTGTGGTCACTAGTAGGTTGCTTCTCTGTCCCAGTCTCCAGCTTTGTAGGTGCAGAACAATACAATATGAAGACTGCCCAATAAATCATGTGCATATGCATATTAAGATCCTTGTTCATACTAATATCCTAGCAGAGCGAGAAGTAAAAGAAGATCAGAGCCTGGGCTAAAACACTCATATCTGTAATCAATAGCAGTACCATTACTGATGATTACTGTGTGCATCCAGGCATTTATAGTAGGGTTTAATGTTCTTTTTAAGTGTAAGGTATGGGAATGAAGGGCAACTGTGCCCCTTCTAAGATGGTGCCAGCATTAGTGTAACCACTCAGTGGGTTGCATCACAGAACTGATCCTCAGCAAATCATTGCCTTCATATGGGGTGGCCTGTCAGGTAGATCAGTTCCCCAAGCTGGCTAACTGTGCAACCTGACAAGCACCAGTATAGCAGAAAGGAGAAGACAGGAATGTTTAGCCCAGGGCAACAGAAGGAAGGTGGCCTGGCCCCTTCCAGCAGCAGTGTGGACTTAGATCAGTCTAAACAGTCTGTTAGCGTCTGCAGTATCTTGCAAGGTTTGTAGCATTTATGGGCAGACAGGTCCTTACATTGGGAAATAGCACAGTAAGATTGGTCTCAATCCTCTAAAACACTTTGAGATAAAATTTCAGTGTATCAAGCAGATGCTTGAATCCTGGTATCCTCAATTTAGCCAGCTCTTGACTCTGGAGGCAATTCTGCTGCAATAATGGGGTTTTGTTGTTTTACCTGATTCCTTCTTTTCACTCTTGTCTGTGGTTTGAAGACAAATGTGAAGTTAATGCAGAAGTCTGATTTTCTTGTTCAAACATTTCTCTGCACGATTCCTGCAGAGAAACGAGAGGAGAAAACACCCATTTTTCTTTCTTAAACTTTATGCCGTTACACTAAAACTAGCATGGAAAAGCCCTTATTCAAATTTCAGTACATTTTTATCCCCCACAGTTTGCAGGGAGCATTAGAAATACTAGATTCTGAGGCAATCTAAAGTAACTGCCTTCATCCTTGAACAGATGATGGTGATCTTATCCCTGATACAGTCTCCGTGAGGGAAACTTCTTTTTCACAGCCTAGATAGAAACCCTTACAATTCCAGGAAAGCCTGGGGCAGGCCTTGCTGCTCTAAAGCTGAGTAGTACAAACATTTGTTAATGAGGTATTAAATGGTGTGGCAGCTATATTGTTCAGACTCTCACTCTGTCATGACACTGGTGATGTTTCTGTGCTCCCCTGCTTTCCTACCTGCCTGTCTTTACCTACCCGTTACAGCATTATACAGAGATTTTTACAAGCTTTGCAAAATTGCAGTCTTCTGTGTGTGTACAGCACCTAGCACAATGAGGTGCTGTTCTGCAACTGATATCCCAATACACTATTATAGCACCAATAATAAAGATTAGCCCTTCATAATTATGTTAATAATCACTGTGCTTCACTGTGTACAGCCTGCTTGTTGATTCTTTATAAGACAGCCCTAAGCAATTGAGTTGGGTGCGCAGGTGTTGCAGAAGGAGAGAAAACATTTACACTCCAGACAGAATCAAAAGATGGGCATAGAACAGGTTTCATGAGCACTGCATTCCTGCCCTGGTCAACAGCTAAGTTGTGCATTTATCACATCACCCTCAGATGTAACAAATCACTCACCAAACCTGCAGAGAATCTTAGGGCTTCGGCAAAATTAAAGCCTCACTGATGGAGAAGAAACTGTGTCGAGGAAGAAGAGAAAGAAAGGGAGTGATATAAAATGGTTCCCATTTGTCCCTTGGAGTTCACAGTCTGGGGACAAACAGCAGGATTTAAAGGCAAAGACTTTCTCAGAACATGTTTCTCCAAGGGGTCAGGCACTGGTCAGAAAGTGTTAACTAGCAAACTCACCTGTAGCTTCACAACCCAAGGTGGAGGCTGTCACTCTTTCCATGGTCCTCTGCTAAACTCTATCCAGCCTTTCAGATATGGTATCCCATAGGCTCCCTCTTAAATATCCTCTCCAAAGCCCTAAGAAACTGGTGTTCTTCATTGCTGAGGACCCAAGAAGCCTTCATTTTGGGTTACACAATAATCTGATGACAAACCTGTGCAGGCAGACTAAGAAGTATCTAAAATTGGATGTTCTCCTGGGAAAAAAACTGAGAAGTTTTTCGCCATTATGCAAACATAGGCTTCCACTGATATCCTCAGCAAATGCTCTAGCAGCATGCCTCGTGAGATGGAGGTACCCACAGGGAGAACTTGGCTTCCCTAACTCTTCACTAGTGACAGACTCTGGACAGAAGTTGACATGAATTTCTCTCTTAAAATGCTTCTTTCCTCCAATGACTATACATTTCAGATAGCCCTGACATGTCTTAGGCCATCCTTTTGTTTTCTTCTCACCCTGTTTGACATGTACAAGTGCTGAACTGTCTCAAGGAGACACCTCAGTTCCCTTTCTAGCGGATGTAGGTACTTCACTTCCCTCTGAATTGCTCTGAGACTCATCCCCTCTCTCCACTAAGGAGTGACTTATTTGGATTGGGTCAATCTACAGTGGTTCAGATAACACAGTTGTTTTTTCTTGTGGTCACTTGTGTTTTGTTTCCTGCCCACAGGAAGGCAGTCAAGGCAACATTAGTTCTTCTGCCTCTGCTGGGCATCACCTACATGCTTTTCTTTGTAAACCCTGGTGAAGATGACATTTCCCAGATTGTTTTCATCTATTTCAATTCCTTCCTGCAATCTTTTCAGGTAAGAGAGTATGTTTACAGCTGCTTTCAGTTACGGCTGAAAGGATCCCCAGTGCATTTCAGCCATGAAATTTATGGCAATTAAGTCCATGATAGAAATATTAGTTGAAAATAGGTCAGCTTTGTTCATGCTTACATAATAGATATATAAGCATGTCATGTGGAGTGGACATCTCTCAGGTGTGTCCTGGAGGGATTCATCTCCCTTAATATCAGTGCTATATTCAGTCTGTAGCTGCAGATTCTCACCTGGGCTCCATCTAAAGCCAATGGAGAGAGAGATGATGTTGCACCTATCCTAAACTGCCCCTGAAATCAGCCTCCCAAGGAACCTCTCTCTTCACAAAGCACACAGTGATCGGAGGCTTAGGGTAGGTGTTGCTAAAGCAAAGGGAAACAACTCCTACCAGCTGGGCTAACTTGACTAAGATGTTAGCTGTATTGCTCAGTCTCTCACTCCAGCTCTGCTGCAGTGGTAAATGCACTCAGCTACCAAGACTGTACCAACTAAGAACTCATACCTATCTCCTCCCTCCCCTTATTTAATATTTTAATAATATTAATTTTAATTATATATTAATAACATTTAATATTTTCTTAATATTATTAATAATTAATAATTTTGCTAATATTTAGATGTTTTTAATAATATTTAATAATTCTGCCAGGATAAAAGGCAGTGGAATAGAAGTAATCGTATCAGCCTTCTGGATTTGTAGATGTGTCCTATAGCTTTACCTCCACTTAAAGACCTTACTGAACTAGGGTGGAACTATGTTTGACATTAATGTTTTCTCTCTAGTATGGGCAGGAACAAGCACTCTGATACCCAGGATATTAATACAAATATACAGCACACACACTGTCAAGCCAAATCTAGGGTTATGGATTACAAAAGTTATGAGGTTTAGGTTACTGTTTTTACTGATTGCATGTTTAGCTTTGAAAGAGAACATCCCACCAGAAATCACAACTAAATATCCAAAATGGGAAATGTCCCTTTTTTTCTATGAACAGAGGAAACTTATTTTTTGTTAATTAACTGATCCACATTTTTCATTCCCTAAAATTAATTGTACTGTTTATCTGCTGATACTCAATGTCTTAAAAAACACTACACTTGTTATTTTATTGTTTGTATTATAAAGAAACATGTAAGAAAGAAAACAGGAAATCTCTCCTTTATGATGACAATAATTACAGTCAATTTCTGAAAGCAAAATGGGTAGGATTCTGTTCACAGGTTTAGAGATGAAAGATTCATCATGATGTCATCTGAGCTTCCGTTATAGTCATTATAATCTTTGCAGTCATTACAGGGATCTAGTCAATGCTGTCAGTAGATTCCACAGAGTAATTCAGCTCAAATGAACTTAAGCAACCTGATGATATGCTTGCCCACACAAGACCATCACAGGTCATTTGGCACCTCCCTGAAAGTGTCTGAGACATCCATATCGACCTGGCAGGCATACCATAGTACCTGTGAGAGGTTTGTGCTGTTTTAGAGGGGGCAGCTGGAAGCTGTAGATATGCTTTAGCACAGCTGAAGAGGCAATGCCCTCTGTTAGTAGAAGAGCTGCCTGGATTCCAGCTTTCATGTCTCACCTATGAGCTGAAAGACACTTCCTATTTTCTCATCAAGTTGTACAGTACCAATTTCATCTGTTTAAAGGTGGATGTTCTCAACAAGATTATGTTTTTGCTCAGGATGATCCCAACTCAGTCCCTGATTCTGTGTGTTGAAATTCATGCTTAATAACTGACTGTTTTCTATCCTTTACAGGGTTTCTTTGTGTCAGTATTTTACTGCTTTTTGAACGGTGAGGTAAGTAGTGTCCCCTTTTGTCAGTGTAATTAATTCTTGGGAGGTGGAACTTACTTGGATGCCTGATTGTAGAGACATGAGATGTTTTTTGCATGGGGTCATAGTCCCTTCCGTCTGTTGCTCTTGCAGAAGTTTCTGTTACTGTGCATTTGAATTTCCCAATTCTCTTTGTAGGTGTCCTTAGTTCACAAAGGTCTATCAAAATCAGGTTATTACTCAGGAAATCAGGGCAGAGGAAAAGGAGTTTTCTCAGATTTTTGTTGTTCATTTTAAGGCTTTTTTTGAAGTTTCTCATTAATTATAAATAAGATTTCTGGGCATACCTGGGCATTTCTTCTGATCTGGGCTCCTGTTAAAGATATTCTGCAGGTGATCTATTTTTGTTTCATTATGGGCATGCTGAGCTGAGTGAGTTTTTCTGTGAGCCTATCTATCTCCAAGTGATGAGTGCCCATTGCATGCAGAAAAGAGGGTTGGGCTCAGGGTCACTGGTGTTCCTAAGAATTCAAGTACTGCTACTCAGACAAGAAAGGTTTCACTAATATCCCTCAGTGTTTTACTTACACCCCAAAGTGTGAGAGATTTATATCTTTTCCCTATTTACACTGCCAGTGTCCCATTTACCTGCATTTAACTGTGTCATCTTGTCCAATCAAAATTTGTGTTTCTGCAGAAATTAATGCTATGTCTCAGTTATTCCTGCTTCATTTGGTATGTACTTGATTTGTGCTGCTTCTTAACTTCATTGTGGGTTATGAGAGAGGATGGGCATGTCTTCTCATGTAGCTGCTCTGCAGCATTTTCTACGTTTCAGCCAATGAAGAACCAAGATTACTGGTGGGGTTTTTTCTTCTTCATTTTCCCTTTTCCTCATTAATTCTGAGGTGATGTTAACAAGAAGCAACACTGCTTTCTCAGGTTAGGCACATGCTACTTTTTCATACTGGCAGGAGACTGTTCTAAGTTCTCTTTCCTACTTGCCTTCAATAAATTCCGACCACTCTGTTTGCCTCTTGATAAATAGTGAGGTGAAATCTTCCCCAAGAAGTACAGGCACCTTAACTGAGGGACTACCTTGTCATATAGCTGAGTTGCTCATGACCACGCTTTATTTTTGTGAGCTGCTGTGCTGCACAGTCTGATGAGGTTGAAGGCACCAAAAGTCTGGCATGTCCCTTCAGTATTTCTTCTCATATTCATCAGGGACTGGAACCCAAGCCATATGATTTCTTATTCAGTCAGGACTTTGTATCATCCTAGTTCACTTCCATTTTGTGCACTTGGGCTAGGGCCAGTTGGCTGTTCATACCACGCTTCCACTCTTTTGGCTGTTCTGGGATTCTTTCAGCTGCCTTGTACTGGGAGAAATACTCCCTTCACTACAGCACTCCAAGGTTCTCAGTCCAAAGCCATGAGCCAACCTGCCATTTCCTGTAACTTAAATGAGTTCAGACATAATCAAATTTGTTGAAATGCAGGATGATTCATGTCATGTACTTCTATGCCTTGATAACAAACTACTAGCAGGTCTGGAATGATGTCCGTGACTGATTTTCCCAGATACCACACTACTGTTACACTTGGAGTAGGCACTTCTGCGGGAGTCAGTAAAGGTTAACACACCCAGCTTGGGTGATGTAGGTGATCTTGACTAATTTCCCTGAACACAGATATCTGCTGCCACTTGAGAGGCTATAGAGTATGTGAGGCATCCGCATGGTTCTACCAGTTATGATATAGGATCTATAGAAGATTCATACCTTCTGACTGGGAAGTGAGAAGCCAAGCGGGATACAAGTGACTTCTAAATTGGCTATGTTACTAATTCAAGCCAGTGGAGAAGATCTTCTTCTTGTCAGCTTAGCCTACAATAGAAACTTCCATTTACGCACATGAACAACTCTAGACTTCACTGAAAGTGCGGACTGTCACTCCTTTAACTGTTATGCATGCCTAGGCACTCAGCTCACCTGTAGACACCTACAAAAAGCTGAATTTGTGAGCTAAATCTTCCCTGTAGCTGTACGTTTACATCTAACATGCAACTTCCACTTGACTACCTAAACCATGGCAGCTCCCTAAATACTTCTTTGAGGTATAATATAATTCTGAACTCCCCAAATATTGCAGCATTGACTATTTCAAAACAGTGAAAGGACTTTGGATTCATCTTAATCTGCTGTGGGAATGTTTTTGAAGTATCATAAAGGTTTAAAGGGTGAAATTCCCTGCTCTGTTTTAGCTTCAGCTTTGCACAGCTCAGAAACAAGTACAAGATTCAGTGAATTTTCAGTGCTTTCTGGGAATGCAATCATGTTTTTCAAGAAAAAAAAAAAAGCATTTTATATTATGGTATTATAAAAGCTCTCTCTTGTGTTAGTGCCTATCCTCCCTTGATCTCCATATACTCATAAATCATTCTAAAAAGAGCTTATGTTTCCCAGATTGCATCCTGAAGGCCACATCACATTGCAAAAGCTGGCAATAATGCTGTGTTTTGCCTTTTTGTGAAGTGAGAGGTCTGTACAGGCTACACTGCCAACTGAGGCATATATGAAGACCTTGCTTGTTAGCATAGCAAAAGTGTGTTTTCTTACTGCAAACTTCCATATCTAAGCAGTAAAGTCATTTACTGCTCAGTTAGATTTGCAGTACATTGTTTTCCTCAATTATTTGCTATTAAAAGGCCTGTATTTCTTAGTGCATGTGAATGGCATCACACGTGATGTATGGAAGTACCAGAATATCATTTGTTTTCTGACATCAGTTGCTCTTAGAGAGGCATCTCTACTAGAAGTGGTGATGAAGGTAATTGGATGCAGCCTTTGCATAGGCATGGTAGAATTTAATGTTCTCAGAATAAGGACAAGCTACAATTAACCCCAGCCATTTTTGAGGAAAGAAAAAGTTAGGGTTAATTAATTTGTTGCCTGTATTGCATGTATACATTGCAGTGAAACTTAGTAAATGTGATGAGAGTATTTCTCAGTCGGTTTGATGTGAGAACTACTTGGTTTGCATACAAGAGTAGCATTAATGGCAATTACCAGAATTCGAGCAAGTGGCAGAAAGATAACATAAGGCTGCATGCTGATAGAGTCAAAGAAAACAGAGCCATGTATCATGACAAACCTGTATGAACTGAAAATAAAGAGAATACTAGCTTGATAGCTATATATTATACCAGTCAGTCCAGTTGCTACAATGTCTGAGCATCTTAGTCTGTGTAACTTCAAAACTCCTATACAACTGAAATTAGCTTTAAAGATCAAAATCAACTTCTTAAAAAAAAAGTACTCAGAATGTGTTCCTAAGAAGAGTTTGCCTGCATAAGAGAGCAGAGAGTTGGTCTCAGTGATCCGTATGGGTCCCAACTCAAGATATTCTATGATTCTGTGATTCTATTCTACGATCACAGATGAAAGTAAAGTTTCTTTCTGTCATTGTTCTATCTGTGAAGTTTGGCAAATGAAACAGAAAAGAGTTTTTTTCTCTGTGACATCTTGTAGCCGCTCTTGATTTACACAAATGTGTCCTTAAGACTTTGATTCTTTCTCTTCCTGTGACCTCTTTTGCCCCAGATCAGATTTACATAGCTGTGCCTCTTGAATAGGTGTGATGATCTAGTGGAGAAGACATCACCTCAAGTGCTCTAACTGAGGATAGCATCTAGGTAATAAAGATATCACCATAAAAAGTCTTGTCCCTGATTTTGCAGTTATTTGGTCTGGCAGGTCAGCAGTGGGGTCACTGAAGGGAAAAACTTGAGTTCTTACATTGCAGTCCATGCAAAAGATTTAAAATGGGATGAGTTTATTTCCTTACATTTGACATGGGAATACAAACACATCCCTTTCCCTCATTTCCACAACACACAATGTTTCCCACTTATCTTGGACCAGCTTTGTCAGCTGCAGGGAGAATTAAGCTAATGGGCCAGGTCTTGAGAGAATGTATATAATTTGAGCCTCTCTGCTGGAGATACTGATTCTTCAGATTTTGAATAGCCACCACATTATACACAAAATCTTCCAGTGAACCTAATAAGAAGAGGCAGTTTAGATACAAAGTTGACAGTTTTTAATTTTTTTTTGCAAATGTCTTAATGCAAATTTCATTTAATCTGAGTGATAAAGAGCATCTCTGGACTTCCAAGAAAATTGATGACAAGAGGTTTCTGAGAATTTCAGATATTATGAAAAATGGTATAATAAAAAAAAGTATGTGTTTATGTTAAATGCCACTTGAAAAGAATGAATATTAAGTTGTGAACTTATTTTTCAATGACTACAAAAACACAGATGCTCGACAAAATCTCTTATATCAACTCACAGATCACAAGACTGAATTTAATTTCATGTAATACTCTGAAATCATCCTGCAAAGCATGAATTCCTACCTCAAGAAGACCTCTGGTTCTAGTATTATCTGGTCAATATTGATAATTGGCTATGAATTAACTTTTAAAATGGAAACCAATTAGCTGACTTAGAAAGAAATCATAACCAGGGTGCAATGGATCAGGTTACTTTGTTAGATGGCACTGTAAATTATTCTCACAAGAAAGTGCAAGGCAAGGATAAATATGTTTATTTTTTTGTGTGTTGATCCTAGGCACCATCTGTCTCTCAAAATCTATTAAGCTCAAAGTGGCTTACTTTGATCTGATCATCTTGGGAAGCTATTTGTTATAATTGCCAGCTATGAATCACCACCTAAATGGTCATCCACCATCCATCTAAGCAGACTTCACATTAATCATTCTGAACCCAAAGGATGTCCATTAAGAGCTCCTTCAAATCGCTGAATAAATATGAGTATGGGGGTGGACTAGAGGCCTAAAATCTAATTCCACCTCCCACAGTGATTGCTTTCTGAGTCAAGGTGCCCAACAGTGCAGTATGAGTACTACTGAGGATGCCTGGACAATATAGAGTCAACTGAAAGAGTCAAACCTTCCCTTTGGGACCACCAGGTAGCAACTAATTCCAGGACCGAGT